GATTCTCATCAATCCTAGAGTTCTGTTCCATAATAGTGCATAAGACTGCAGTCAGAGGCTAGGATGCTCCTTCTCCTGCTTGTACAAATGGGATGATGGGTTATTACCTCAGAGAGCTTACTGTACGGAGGGTGTAAGTAGCCTCACAATGTAATTGTTTCCTTGTAATTATACTAATAAGCCTCTTCTGGGCAGGAAGGACCAGGCAGGGCCTTCATTGGGTTGAGTTCTAGTGCAATACGTACAATAGATAATAATAAAATGTCTTAATATATTCAATTTGTTAGAGAGCTAAAGGCTGCTATGGATTTTTTGCTGCAGAAGACATTCTCTTTGTTAGAACATATTATTACTTTCTTGCTAGGTAGCCTCGGCACTGAGCCTGGAAGGCGATAATAACGTCTGTGATCTTCAGGTCTCTCTCTTCTTCCAGGTGAGCCAGAACGCCGGTTCTGAAGAAGATTTTACTCTGTCCAATTCTGTACAAGTTGGGATCAAGTTCTAATGCTTTGATCTGGAGGAAAACAAGGATATTTGTTAATGCCAGTGCTGAGGTTTAAGGTATTAAAAATTTCTTCTAATTTCTGTTCTCTCTAAACAGCTTTTATATAAGAAGTATAGGCATAATTATCAATAGGATCAAAAATGCTTTCCTCACCATCAATATGCAAGCCTGCTTCCCATCCATGAATCCTTTAGGAATAGCATTTGCAGCAAGAATTTCATATCTGCCAAAAGTAATTTATGTTAGAGGGGCTGAAACATATAGAAATATTTTGTACAGATACACATGTATTACACCAGTATTAAAGCCAGAGTCAGGGCTGAGTGAGGGATTCCTACCGCTGACGGAACTCCTGGAAGACAATCCTGTTGGGGAATCCTTGTCGGCAGATACGAATACCTTCCAAGACACCATTGCAGCGCAACTGCTCCAGCACTAAATGGGCATCAAGTTTGCCAGCCTGAAAGGAGAACAGAAAATACTTTTGGCACAGTAGGCTTCTACAAAAACGTTACCGGCTGCATATCTATGTTTGAAGACAACATTCAGCTCTGCAATGTGCTGATACAGTGAGCAGCTCAACATGAATAATGCGACAGGAGCCTGCAAACTGAGCATTTGAAATTTACCCTTTTTTCGTGATTTGGAATGATACAGCGGACAAAGTTGGGATTGGTATTCCTTAAGGTGGTCATCAGTTTGGTCAGCTGCTCCTTATAGAGTTGGCCCACAGTACGGAACATGCCTTTCTTGGTTTTTGAAGAACTGGGAAGTGAGCTTTCAGTCATCTTGGCCATCTGGTCCAGCCCAACTATACGATCCACTGAAATATAAAAGTGAGTATGAATGGAACTGTTTATATAAACTGTCCTCACCTCACAATACACCTGTCACTGGCATTGTTAAACTGTGGTTTCCCAAAGAGGACCAATGTATTTTTGAATGCAGTGGAAGTGTCCTACCAAAAGTACTAGAAGAGCCTTCTGGGTAAATAGTCTGCTTCTGTCAAACATGAAAATGAGGATCTTTGTTAGCTAGTGACAGAGTGGAGCAACTGAATACACTGAATGTATTTTATTTCAGTTTTGCTTTAAAAAATTTGCACTCCTGCAAAATGTCAGAACCAGGAGCAACAACATCTCTTAACTCCCATCTGTTACCCAGTGGTGCTCAAGGTCCAGCTAACAATCACCCTCAGTTATTTGATAATTCAGAGCCACCTTGCTGGTGTTTGCATGTATGGTTGTGTCTATGTATTAAATATTTATACTGTAGTATATGTGGGACTGATCCATATAAACTTTTTTAAAACCAAAGTCTTTTATATGCATACAGACATTCTTCTGGTGGAGTTTATTTGAGATTATACATCTCTGGAGAGAACTGTGTAGGACTTCTGGGAGAGGAGTGTGTAAGGTAAGTAATTAATAAAACCCAACAATAACCTGTATTAAATGAGGTCTACAGTATCACATATTCTGTAACTTTATAACAGTGTAATTAATAATTTTTATTCTGTTGCTGGATAATATTAAGTAAGGAACATTTTTGATAGTGCTTAGAACTATCTAATGCTGCTTTCCATAAATACGTCTTTAGAACACCTCATTCTTGTTTCTTAGTTCAATCTCTTCTATGCTTATCATTTTCACACTTGTGTCTTGCCAGCAAGGGACAGCTGTCAAAAATCTCTAGTAGAAGCTTCTTCTCCCTTTAAACCATGTTACTGATTTAGAGTTGCAACTCCTACCGTCTTTCCAAAGGTCTGCTACAAATTTATCTGAAGACTGGTTTAGCAGAGAAGTCACATTGTCATTTAGCGGATCCATATTTTTTGTTAGCCAAGCAGTTGCGTTGTAGGTAACCTGCAGAAAATGGTGCTACGTCAAAAACCTATTCTTCATAAAGAAATCTGAAGTGTCCAAGGACACAGGGAACTCTTTTAACACAAAACCATACAAACAATTACAGTGTGAAAAGCTTTCTATGGTTGAGAGCTGAGTGAAGTATTTATTCTAACATTTATTAGCTTTTGAAAGGCTTCTTGTGGACGTATCTGTGGCAAGACACCTGCCCTGCCTTTAAAAAAAATCTATTTGCTAGAAACGAATCCAAATCACTTGGGTTTTCAATAACCCCAGTGCTGGTTATTTTTGTTTTCATGTGAACTTAGCACAACCATGAATGTTTTGCAAATATAATTTCATATTTTATGTAATTAAAGCACATAACATATACGTTACATAATTAAAGCTGTCCCTTGTCAATACGGCTACCGGGCTGTTTCTTTTTTACCATTTGGGCATCAAAGAAGCAAGGTTTCTTAAGTCAAAACAATCTGTCCAATACCTTTCCTGCATAGTGCACTATACAGAACTCTGTTTTATCTTTGAGTTGCTTGGCCTTCTGGAATTTGGGATGGTTGCCTTGTTCTTGACTTAGTTTCTCCACAAAGGATGTATCGGTAGCTTTGGGGAACCAACACTCTTCATCCAGCAGAGCCAGGACACCCGGAGGGTTGGTCTGCAATGTGAGCAGTATCCGATCAGTATCATCACAGGGAGAGACAAAGAGTGAGCACCGCTTCCTTTATCCCTTATGTTACAAATCCTCCCAGGCCACAAAGAGTCTGAAATACCTTAAATGGCTCTCTTATTGTACTTATACATAACCGACCCTGATGTAATATACCACCTCTAGAGATATAATCTTACTGGTCTTTCAATCAGTTCAATGCAAGGTTGCAGGTCAAGGCCAAAGTCAATGAAATTCCATTCAATGCCCTCTCGCTGGTATTCTTCTTGCTCCAATATAAACATGGTGTGGTTGAAAAGCTGCTGAAGTTTCTCATTAGTGTAATTGATGCACAGCTGCTCAAAGGAGTTGATCTGTAAAGAGGAAATAAGTGAATTTTTGTATGTTAGAAAGAGACCTTCAGCAGGAACTTAAACGACAAGATGAAATCTGCTGTCTTCTATTTCTTTTTACATATTACAATAATTCAAAATATAAGGATTCATATTTTTCTAATATGACATATTGAAAATTTGCAGTAAGTTCTCAAGTGTTAAATTGTTGTGCTGGAGCCTGTTCAATAAACCATAAAAAGCAGACCCTTGCTCTAACCACTGAGCCCTGCAGAAGCCCAGCAGGAGCCTGCTGCCAGCCCTCCCTGCCCAGGGAAAAGGCAAGCAGCCAGGCGTGGTAGGCCTGTAGGTCACGCTGACCATGGGCTGCTCGTCAGCTTGAAAGAACCAGATTGCTTTTGTGGATCTGAACGTGTCAGCTTATAGCCAAATGACTGCATGATAATAAGGAGCTTGTGTCCCACAGTACTTACCTCAAAAATCTCAAATCCAGCAATATCAAGGATCCCCAAGAAGGAAGCACCTTGTCTTTTTGTTTTATCGAGAGCTTTGTTTACACGAGCTAGAATCCAACGGAAAAGACGTTCAAATTGTGCCTTGGCCAAAGCCTCTATGGCAAAGTCTGCCTGAAAAAAAGAAGAGAAAATTGTAAATGAGATAACCCAATGCTACTAAATTCTGTAGAACTATTGAGACAGAAATCTGACATTCCCCTTTAGATAAGATGAAAAAAAAGGAAAAAGAAGAAAGGAGAACAGTTTCAGGAGAGCTGCGCAGACTGCAAGTAGCTACCTGCTCTTTGGTTTGAGCTTTCTGAACAACATCTCGTCCTACTTTGATCCTTGGGGTTAGAATAGATCTTGTGAAGTCAGTCACGTTAATCCCCATCAGGTGACACACTTTTTGTGCAGCTAGAATGAAAGAGAGATTTTAATTCAGATTTAATTTTCTCTTAGCAGGTCAGTAAGTGGGAATACAACCAGCTCAGGAAGTATGTGAAGATATTTATCTTCCTCAAGAGCTCCTCCGTTGTACATCCAAGAGATGCCACTTGCCATAACAGTATTAGCCATGATTCAAGCAGCAAATTCACTGTTCATCAATTTATGGAGTCAAGATTGCTAGAAAAGGTGATGATAATTGAGCTGATTTTAAGCATGGTATATCTTTTAAAGCCTGTGGTCTATTTAGGTAATAACAAATAAATAAATAATACTGATAGGAAGTGCTTACTCAGCTCCTATTTTATTAATTTCTTAATGTTAACTGAATTTTTTAAATGGCAAATCATACCGGTATTGTCTGGCATAGAAGCTTGATCAGTGTTTCTCTCCTTCTTGAAGACAATATTACCCAGCTGTAGGACAGATGAAACTACTTTCAGTATAGCTGTAAGAGAAATGGAATAGAAATGAGGAACAGAATGGACACGTTTTGAAAGCTTTGTTCTCTGCAATAACAAAGATTCATTCTATTGCCTATAGTATTCTGTACCTCTATGAGAGGTACAGAAGAGCTAGGTTTACTTTAGAAGACTGTGCCATAAACTGCAGGAGTTTGAGAGCTGACAACATCTCAGCGATCTGTGCAGTGCAGCGAACAGGTTGGTCCAGGGTCACCAGCACCTCCAAGCTGAGTGGTGCTGGCTCCCCCAGCAGACCCCCAGGTCTCAGGAATTCATCTTCCATTCAGTGACCTGGAGCATCTTCCCTGCTTAGTCACTTGACAATCTGCATCTCTGTCTTTAAAATAAGTTTTTTAAAAAATCTATGAATTACCCGTAGCTTCAAATATGTGTGGCACTTTGGAAGCTCCAGTTACGCAGGAATATGTGGAAATTTTGTTGTGCAACTAAAATCAAATGTATGCAAATCTTTGAAGGATTAGTGTCAAAGTACAGAAAAGTAATTGATTAATGTTTGATTACTAAAATATGTATCAATGTGATGTTGCCTAACTTCAGGTAGTAAAATCTACTGATATGTTACAGATGAGATAGTATAAATCTATGGAGTTCTATTGTGTGTTTGGTAAACTTCCACAGGAGAAGAATACTGTCCTCATGAGGTTACATTTTAGAGCATGAAATCTCACAGGGGTTCAGGCAGTAATGCAGCGACTCCTGTTGTTGTAATGGAGGATGCTGCTGTCAACACCAATCCGTGTGCCCCGGCAGGAGAAGGAGCAGTCTTCATAAGGAACATCCTTGGAATTCACCAAGGCTGGGATTTGCAGTGCTGTTCTGCAAGGCAATAATGTTTTTCTTAGCATCTCAGTGGCTGATGCAGGGGTGGGATGTGAGCGAGCTTTGTTCCTGGCTGCCACCGCTGCTCAAGGGTCCGGTGGTGGGGCGACGCTGTTTCTGCCACCAGGTGTCCCCTGGGGCATGGCAGTTTGCACCCATGGGCAATGCACACAATCTGCCAGCTGAAGCCCTGCACACCCCCAAGAACACTGGGAGGTAAAAGCCATGCGGATCGAGGTCTTTGGCAGGCTCACATTCTCAAGAAAGTTTAGTTGTAGTTTTTATTTCTCTTTTCTCTGAATCAGTGAGTACAAATACGAGCTATTTGAGCCTCTTCCGTTTCTTTCAAGATTAAATCAGGGTATTTTGTAACTTCTTCATGCTAGTTGTTGGAAAGTTCTGAAAAAATGGCTTTCAATGGTCTTTACTGTAAAGCTAAGTTGAATCCAGGAATCTGTTCTAGGTATGTATGGATTTCTTCTAGGAAGAAATCTTTCCTTTCATAAACACAAATTACCTTTCAAAACACCATATGGTATAGTACTTCTGTATACTGACAACTGCACTGATGCTGTGGAATTCAACAGGGTCAGGAGTGCATCTCATGTTCCTCCTACAAACAGGTTTTGAGAATTCATAAGCCTTGCAAATCTTCATTCAGATAGCAAAATATTGAGACAATTATTTTATTTGATCCATGTTTAAATTGTTGTATAGAGCTGCCCTGTGCATCACCACTTCTTCCAGGCATCACAGAGATAGTTAATCTTTGGTTATATGTACTCTGTTTTCCAGCATAGGTGGTGACTTTTCCATATTTCTTACACTGTGTTTCCAGCAGGTGCTGCCAGTTTAAACCTTTGAGGTGGTTTTCCAAGAGTTTTCATTATTGGCTTCAACTGCTCCTACCAGTACCCACTGCAGCAATGGGAAAATGTAGGCCACTGTAGTCATTCTTTAAGTAGAACTTTTCTAACAGCCTCCTAAAAGCAGTAGATCATAATTATATCTCCTGCAAGGCAAGAACAGTGACTCTAGTGCTCACAAGGGTTCCTGTAGTATCACTCTGTCCAATACCAAGGTGGCAATGACTCCAAGGTGGCCGTTGTGTTTTGTGTCGTGGCTCTATGAAAGCAGTTTCAGTGTTCTCACTGCCAGCCTGTCCTCAGCCCCTGCTGCACTCAGCCCAGAGCCCTGCTGCTGGTTTATGGTGTTGTCAGGCACTGCGCTGCCACCAGTTTGGTTGCTTCTTGTTACTGTCTCTGACCATGCTGCTCGTGTTACCTGATCTTGGTCCTGTGTTTAGATCCTGCCTTGATTCTGTGTCTCTCCTGATCACACAGAAGTGGGTTTCCATGTTATTCTTCAGGTGATGTAGAAACAAATCTATGCTTGGGAAGTTTTGCCTTATAAGAGAGCCTTCATTCTCTGTCCGTGAGAATTCTGTGGTTTAATTTACCTAATATCTCTGGAGAAGGAGGGAAATCTTATGGGCACTAATTCACAGTGCACTTTTTAGAAACAGTAGCTAGGTAAGGGTTGATAATAGTTTTACACAGAGGAATTAAGAGGCAAAGAGGTTAAATAACATGGGTGCATTTAGAATCCTCCAGTTGGTGGCTCAAGCAAGATCACACTTCTCTAGAGAAACATGAACATAAAATCTAAGTAATCTTAATTTTCTTATATGAATATGCATATTTTGCAAAGTGATTATTCTGGACAGAATTAGCTATAATAATACAAATAAATATAAGTAACTCTGTGCATTTGGATCTCTACAGTGTCACTTGCAGATGTACACCTTGAATGCAATCTTGCTAACAGTTCTCACCTATCTGTTCCTCCTCAGTAAAGCCCATAATTTTCATGGCTTCCAAGGTCTCCTGGAACATCTCATCGTCTTGTTGAGCAGGAATAGGCACATGTCCATTAGATAGAAAGGTGTAATTGTTGAAGCCTTCCAGCAAAAGATCATCTAAAAAGCAAATAAAAGCTTTACTTAAGTGCATCAACTTAGGTTTCCAGTTTTCAGTAGTAACTGGGGAATGTCTCTGCCCCTTGGTGGAATTTTACACTTTGTGGACTCAAATCTGAGCCATTCTTCCCAAAAGTCTTTCATTTAATGCCATGTGTATGCTACTCAGAATTACACCTCTCTCTGTGTGGATTCGTATCAGGAACAAGATAACAACCATAGTGGGCCAGAGCAAAAGACTCCTCAGCCCTATACCTGGCCAACAACAGATTTCTAGATTAGGAGGATAAAACCCAGGGAAAATACAGATTTATCCATTGCTTTATACTTTCTTTGGCAACCAGTAATTTAGGGA